GGTTTTTTCAGTAGTTGCAGGAGTAAAATGGAGAGGATCAGTTCCTGTATATGCTGCCCCCCTGTCAAAGTGTAAAACAGAATGTGACAGGGAGCCCCCTGAAGCATGGGGCGGGGTCAACATAGGGTGGGTGTGGTAACAACATCTCAACTGAGGGGTTTTACCGTCCCTCAAACCACAAATGTAACACTATTGTGCTGAGCCCTCTGTAAGTTTGCCTTCACACTGATGTACCTTGGGTGCAGCACAGTACACCTGTGGCTTTCCTGCGGGTTAGCTGCACTTTGCCATAGACTTATATTATATCTATGATGCAATTTCAGAACGCGCACAAAACCGGCATCATACAATAGAAATTAGCTTCCCCAATTTAAGGGCAAGGACCACATCAGAAGGCTTGAGGTTGAGCACCCGACCTCAACAGAAGAGGACAAATCCCCTTCTGTTTTTTTTTATTAGTGGACCAGATTGGACCTGAAAATAGGCGGGTGTAAACAGACACAAGTCCCTTAACCTCCCTAGCGGTCTGATGTCAGTATTTCTGTGCTCAAAGCGGTACATTTTTTTTGCATGGAAATTTCATTATAGGCCTGTAATTCTTAGGAATAACTAACTGAAATCTGTCCAAACAAGAGTCTAGTAAACATCCCGGGTATGATAAAATTTGAAACACGAAATCATAAATTATAACAATCATAAAAAATATAATACATTTAATTCAATAATGTAATCCAACCAAAATCACTGAAATTTGAAATATAGCGCCAAGTTCGCACATCACTGATCTTAGTAGCAAAATTGTTTTCAGTGACTGAATTTCCCCACGAATCATCACTCAATTCTGCAAGTGGTTCTGATTTACTGTATATAGATTGTATAGCGAGCGCTACTGCAAAAAAAGTGTATTTAAAATATGTATATAAGCCGCTAGAACACCAAAAAGGTAACCAACAAACCCTTCCAAAGAACTGTACAAATAATAAAGGTGCAGCGCTAAGAGTAGGAGTAATATCATGCAAATATCAACAGGGAAAGAAAACAGATTAAGAAATATACAATGTGCAAATTGGTTATCAAGGGCACATTGGGCAATATAAAATTATTGGTCAAAAATCAATATAGTGTCCAAATCACAAGAAATGTGGGTATAGGAATCTTGCAGGGTCCCGTCTATCGGTGAAGATAAGTGATCCAAAGGTGAAGATAAATAAATAAGTGGAATGCGCACTCACCAGAAGTGCGTTTAAAATACGCATGAAAGATGTTTCCTCTATCAACAGATACATCAAGGTCATCTGCGTTCTGGTCAGGCTGCACTCCCAAACATCCTTTGGTCATCCGTTATGACAGGGCTCCAGGGTTCATCAGACAATCGCACACATCCGGGGTCCCCTTTTAGAATAGGCACTGCGGAGGGTGGCGCTCATAAACAGAGCCCAATAAGGGACATCATAGTGTGACCACCCTAACTTTGCAGTGCACTCTATGCTACCAATGTCAAAGCTATTTATTCTGTCCCTCACGCCTCTTCTCGCTGTTCTCTAGCCGGTCTAAAACCGCTTCTGACCTAACGGGACGCTTTTTGGATGCCATGGACGTTTCTCAGTTTCCAGGCAGAAAGAACAGTAAAAATGCAGGCAGGGCACAGGCCAAAGCACTTGGGACAAAATGTATGTGAAATGGTTTGATACAGGAATGTTATACTATGTGATTTTAGTGTATTTAGTGAATGTCACATTTAAAATGTTTGAATTTCCCGCCAGTTCTGTTCCCCGTACGTCCCGACGCTCGCAAAGAACGGAACCCAGAAGACGGATGCCTGCATTGGCCGCAGGAGATGGCCGGGGACGCTGCAGGGGAGACATCGCGGGAGCAAAGGACAAGGTAAGTGCAGGAGGGATCCCGGAGAAGAGCTGCAGAGTATTCCCGAGTGTAGCTCGGGGTTACTGCTTTTGGTACTGAAAGGTAACCCCGAACTACACTCGGGAATGCCGCCAGGGGTGTTAACACCCGTCTGTCCATAGGAACGCATGGACATTCCAATCGGGTCCACCTGTCAGTTTTTCGGGCACCTCGCTCATGTGAATGGGGTCGTAAACTGGCAATACTGAAAAAGCATTGACACAGAATTCAGGGTGTCATGGGTGCAAACAATACTAAAAACACTCTGGATGGATGTCAATGCTTAAATAAAAATCATACAAAACATGGCAACCTGCAAATACTGAGAGTACATAGAGGACATCATTGCTGACCTTCCCTACTGTAGGTGCGTGGCTGCTGTCAACAACCTGAATCGCATTTCTGCAGATTGGGAGCTCAATACCTTCACTTGCTCTACGACCCAGAGCAAGGGCGGATGGATGGAAAAGGAACTTGTAAAAAAATTCGTCCACCAACGCATAGAAGGTTGTCTGGCTCTAAACAAGGCTGGGGAAGCCTGACCAGTACTGTACAGTGAAGAAGGGACCCCCTTCAAAACACGTCAGCATTACTTTGAGCGTCTGCCTTCATGATGAGACTCGCACTGGTTTTACACTCCTAGAGTTCTGTTGAGGATCTTATACTTCTCTGTTTGTAGTATATTTCTTAATTCAATAAAATCACAGTTTACTAACGTAATGCGCATGGTTGGTGTGCTTTTTGTTTCACTTTTCAATACCTTCACTTGCTACATGCTTGTTCCAGGTCATTGACTCAAAGTATTGAAGTCAGAGACAGCCAGGTGTCTAACACTTGGGCAGTCAGCCATGCCATCCTCTGGGTTTCCTTCAGGTTCTCGTTAACACCTTCAGCTGCATTATTCCACCGTTGCTGGTGTGCGCCAAGGAGAAAGCAGTGCTGACGGATTGCAAAGATCCATCTCAGAGTTTACATTTTTTTCCCCCTACTTTAACCCCCCTAGCCGTCTGATTATGTCAGTATTTGTGTGTTGAAAGTGGTACATTTTTTGCATGGAAAGATGTATTTTTTTTATTGTAGGCTGTAATTTTTAGGAATAACTCACTGAAATCTGTCTGAACAAGAGTCTAGTAAACATCCCGGGTATGATAAAACTTGAAACACGAAAATCAAATTATAATTTAAAAAATAATCATAAAAAATAATAATACATTTAATTCAATAATATAATCAAACCAAAAACACTGAAATTTGAAATATAGCGCCAAGTTCGCACATCGCTGAGCTCAGTTGCAGAATCGGTTTCAATGTCTGATGAGGAATTTCCCCCACGAATCATTATCACTCAATTCTGCAAGTGGTTCTGATTTACTATCGCTGTTCTCTAGCCGGTCTAAAACCGCTTTTGACCTAAAGGGACGCTTTTTGGACGCCATGGATGTTTCTCAGTTTCCAGGCAGAAAGAACAGTAAAAATGTAGGCAGGGCGCCGGACAAAGCACTCGGGACACAATGTATGTGAAATGGTTTGATACAGGAATGGAATACTATGTGATTTTAGTGTATTGAGTGAATGTCACTTTTTCACATTTTTAAATTTCCTGCCAGTTCCGTCCCTAGTACGCCCGACGCTCGCAGGCTCGAAGACAGATGCCGGCAGCGGCCGGAGGACATTGCCTGGGACACTGCAGAAGGGACATCGCGGGAGCGCAGGACAAGGTAAGTGCAGAAGGGATCCCGGAGCAGCACCGCATGGTAAGCCCGAGTGTAGCTCGGGGTTACCGCTTGAGGTGCTGAAACTTTACCCCGAGCTACACTCGGGAATACCGCCAGGGGGGTTAATGAAAGGTCACAAAAGGGCAATTCAATCATCTCTCTGCACTGTGGCATGTTTTGATGCAATGTACTGTGTCACGATGGGAAAAAAAAAAAAATTGAACACACAGGACTCAAGGTAAATGACCTCGTCTATGTATTGGGACTGTGTAGGACAAGGCTGCCCAGCTCAGTCCAATCCATAAAATGTGAATGGGCCCTAAAGCTGAGCCTTAATCTTACCTTCACAGTTGTACCGGCTCCTATCCTTTACTGAAATGCTTCCTCTGATTTCACTGCACTCTGTGAGCTTCTCACAATGTGCACTGGAAGCTGCAGCAAGTTAGTCAGAGCCCGTTTCATTTCCCGGCAAAGACATCCAGTATCATCTAACAATTTCCTACTTAGTTCACTGCTTTCATAAATTGGATATCAGTTCATTCATGGAGCCTCGTCATCAAATGTAGTAATTTCCTAGGACAGGTCTGCGGTTTTCAAGAAACTATATACTGTCCTTACCAACAGCTATGACCTGCCTGCATTGCATAGAGAAACACAGAGACCCAGTGATAACCGTACTGGGTCTAAAAAAAGTTATGTAATAAAAATGGAATCGTTTTGTTTAAAGTGTTACTAAACCCACAACAGTACAATCAGTCTGTATATGCAGTAAAGCATGCTTGTTGTACTCACTGTGGAACCTAAGGGGTTAATCCACTGCATTGTGTAAAAAGGCTGTTTGATCCTGTCTTCTCTGCCCCTCCTCGTCTAAATGACCACCTGATACAGACAAACTGTAGCCACATGCACATGCTCAGTTTGGTGTGTATTGCTAGAGAGGTTTTGTTTTGTTTTTTTTTTTTTTTTCTTGGGAGAGAGCATGTGATCAGCACAGGGCCAATCAGCACTGTTCAGACAGAGGGTCAGGACTTTCACATCCTCCTAGAGCAGAAATAAAACTCTTCCTACAAAGCTTTAACCAGTGCTCTGCTGAAGTCACAAGACTGCTGTAACAGCTGATGAGAAAAGGTATTTAGCAGTTTATATATACTAAAATAATTGCATTTCCATGTTCTGTGTACTGTGGGAGACCGGGTATAGCGAGCGCAGGCTCCGGGGGAGACCGGGTATAGCGAGCGCAGGCTCCGGGGGAGACCGGGTATAGCGAGCGCAGGCTCCGGGGGAGACCGGGTATAGCGAGCGCAGGCTCCGGGGGAGACCGGGTATAGCGAGCGCAGGCTCCGGGGGAGACCGGGTATAGCGAGCGCAGGCTCCGGGGGAGACCGGGTATAGCGAGCGCAGGCTCCGGGGGAGACCGGGGTATAGCGAGCGCAGGCTCCGGGGGAGACCGGGTATAGCGAGCGCAGGCTCCGGGGGAGACCGGGTATAGCGAGCGCAGGCTCCGGGGGAGACCGGGTATAGCGAGCGCAGGCTCCGGGGGAGACCGGGTATAGCGAGCGCAGGCTCCGGGGGAGACCGGGTATAGCGAGCGCAGGCTCCGGGGGAGACCGGGTATAGCGAGCGCAGGCTCCGGGGGAGACCAGGTATAGCGAGCGCAGGCTCCGGGGAGACCGGACATAGCGAATGCAGGGTCTTGGGAGACCGGACATAGCGACTGCAGGCTCCGGGGGAGACCGGACATAGTGAATGCAGGGTCCGGGGCGACCGGATATAGTGAATGCGGGGTCCGGGGAGAGCGGATATAGCGAATGCGGGGTCCGGGGAGAGCGGATATAGCGAATGCGGGGTCCGGGGAGAGCGGATATAGCGAATGCAGGGTCCGGGGCGACCGGATATAGTGAATGCAGGGTCCGGGGCGACCGATATAGCGAATGCGGGGTCCGGGGAGAGCGGATATAGCGAATGCGGGGTCCGGGGAGAGCGGATATAGCGAATGCGGGGTCCGGGGAGAGCAGATATAGCGAATGCAGGGTCCGGGGAGAGCAGATATAGCGAATGCGGGGTCCGGGGAGAGCAGATATAGCGAATGCGGGGTCCGGGGAGACCGGATATAGTGAATGCAGGGTCCGGGGAGACCGGATATAGTGAATGCAGGGTCCGGGGAGAGCGGATATAGTGAATGCAGGGTCCGGGGAGAGCGGATATAGTGAATGCAGGGTCCGGGGAGAGCGGATCTAGTGAATGCAGGGTCCGGGGAGAGCGGATATAGTGAATGCAGGGTCCAGGGAGAGCGGATATAGTGAATGCAGGGTCCAGGGAGACCAGATATAGTGAATGCAGGGTTCGGGGGAGACCGGATATAGTGAATGCAGGGTCCGGGGAGACCAGATATAGTGAATGCAGGGTCCTGGGGCTTAGTAACACTTTAACATTTTTATTAGCATGTTGATAAAGGGATGTAAGAGGAACCAGGAAGTCAGAATATAAGCACATCAAACTTCAGCTTTAACAAAGTGAGTCTGTCTGTTGTACCTACCTGGGTTAAACAAAATGATCGCTCGCAGACAGCCGAGTTCAGTCTTATCCATGCGCATGTCTCTCATCTTAGACACAAGTTCAGTAAGCACTCTGTAAATACACAATAACACACTACAGAAGCTGGCAAAAGCAGGAGCTAACATGAACAATAAAATCGTTTTATACCACATGAGCAAAAAAAAAAAAACTTAAACAGAGACTCCACTTTTGTTAAGGGGAAAAAGACAAAACCAAAAACATTCCCCTCTGGGTGATCTATGTACATCGCAGGGATTTTACCAGATTTTGATGATTCCTTCCTGTTATTCTGCAAAAATAGCCCTTTGTCTGTGTCCATGTGCAAAGTGAATATGTATGGAAGCGATTATTATTGAATTCTCAATCAACTGCTGACCTTGCAGGGCTCTAAGAAGGAAAGTGGCAGGGTCTGCATCCCTTTAGGCCTAAATTTCCCTTTTGGCGTATCTCACCCAAAATGAGATTTGTATTGCAGAAGATGCCCAAAATCTGCCTTGTATCTTAGTGCAGACTTCTTGGAAAATCAGCAAGCCAATCGCATATGCAGGAAATTACATTTCTGGGGGTCGTTCTGTACACCATCTATGTACAGAACGCCTTCATGCAGCCATATTGCATTTTACAAAAAATTACAGCGCTGCAGATTGAAAAAGAAAGGTAATTTTTAATAACATTCAATTACAATATGACTTGTGTCTCAATTGTACATGCTATATCATTTTTTTTTTTTTAATTTGCTATTCCCCCTATGAAAATGGAGTTAAACTTTAATTCAGAAAGCGAGCAATTACCTGTCAAATATGGCCCCCACCCCAGCACTGTGTGCACTATTGCGGTGGACGTGGAGTCCAGTAGCCAGCAGGATGCCGTCTTTCACAGAAATGGAGCGGTGGGAGAAGGAGGCGATGAGGAGCTCATTCATTCCATCCTGAGGAAAGAGAAGGCAGAGAATTTTATATACTGCATTGTACAGGAAAAAAATAACATTCACTCCAAGAGTAAACGTCTATGGAAAACTGACCTAACTAAGCTTGTTGTACTTCACATTTGAAAATCAAGAGCATTAACCACTTGTCTACAAGGGCAATCCTAACTTTTAGTACATATTAAAACCTGCATTTTTTTTGCTAGAAATTACTCTAAATCCCCCCAAACAATTATATATTTTCTGAAAGAGGACCTAGAGACTAAAAGTGTTACTTGCAATTTTTTATGTTGCATATTTGCAGCTATTTATCAAATGCATTATTTCAAAGAAAAATACATTAAAATAGTGATTCCAAAGGTTCTCTTTTTTATTTATTTATTTATTTATTTTTTTAAATATCTGCTCTGTGTAATGGTTTTGCACAGAGCAGCCCTGATCTTCTTCTTCTTGGGAACCCCAATGGTGCTCCTGATTCCTCCTCCATTAGCAAGCCGCTTGCTATCGGGGGGACTGGTGTGTGCTCGCTCCCGAGCCCTGCTCTATGCATTCATAAGGCACAGAGTCATGGCTAGGCCATGGCCCCTCCTCACTGACTGTGATTGAAAACAGTGGGAGTCAATGGCTCTGCTGATGTGTCTCAGTCAATGAGGAGAGAGAAAAACCAGGGCTGCTGAGGCTCCCATGCACATTGCTGGATCGAGAAGGGGCTCAAGTGGAGTAGAAGGTAAAAAAGGGAGGGGGGAAGGGGGGATGGGTGAGAAGCACACAGTAGATTTTTTACCTTCATGCATGGAATGTATGAAGGTAAAAAACCTTCATCCATTACAACCACTTTAACTTAAAGTATCACTAAACCCACAAGAATAAAATCTGTCTGTATATGCAGTGATGCATCCTGGTCATACTCACTCTGGCACCTACGTAGTTAATCCTCAGCATTTCGTTAAATTGATCCTGCCAGCCTCTGATCCTACCTTCTTTCACTGTCCCCAATTCAGCTACCGATTCTACAGAGCAGCGTTGGCACGCAATGAGCATGCTCAGTTATCCATTTTTCTATACAGCTATAACGCGATCACCTTTTGTATCACCTCCCCCTTCCTTTAGATTGTAAGCTCCAGGGGCCAGGCCCTCCTATTCCTTCTGTACTGAAATATATTGTAATTGTACTGTCTCCCTTATATTGTAAAGCTCTGCGCAAACTGTTGGCGCTATATAAATCCTGTATAATAATAATAATCCATTTTTCTATACAGGACATTTCCTCTGTGATAGGAGCTGTGTGCAGGTCACATGACTGACATTACACCGCGTTCCAAATTATTATGCAAATTCTATTTAAGTGTCACAAAGATTAAATATTTTGTTTTTCAGTTTAACTCATGGATGGCATTGTGTGTCAGGGCTCTTTTGATCACTGAAAACAATCTCGGACACCTGGGATAATTAGATTGGCCGGTGAGCCCAATTTAAGGAAAAACCACTAAAGGAGGGTGTTCCACATTATTAAGCAGAGACCATTTTCAAGCAATATGGGGAAGAAAAAGGATCTCTCTGCTGCCGAAAAGAGTGAAATAGTTCAATGCCTTGGACAAGTTATGAAAACATTACATATTTCACGAAAACTTAAGCGTGATCATTGCACTATTAAGAGATTTGTAGCTGATTCAGAGCACAGACGGGTTCGTGCAGATAAAAGGCACATTGAGGAAGATTTCTGCCAGATCCATGCATCGGATCAAGAGAGCAGCTGCTAAAATACCATTACATAGCAGCAAACAGATATTTGAAGCTGCTGGTGCCTCTGGAGTCCCACGGACATCAAGGTGTAGAGTCCTCCAGAGTCTTGCAACTGTGCATAAACCTTCTTTATTCGGCCACCTCAAACCAATGCTCACAAGCAGAAACGGCTGCATTGGGCAGAAAAATACATGAAGACTAATTTGCAAACAGTCCTGTTCACTGATGAGTGCCGTGCAACCCTGGATGGTCCAGATGGATAGAGTAGTGGATGGTTGGTGGATGGCCACAATGTTGCAACAAGGCTGCAACGTCAGCAAGGCGGTGGTGGAGTCATGTTTTGGGCCGGAATCAAGGGAACAGAGCTGGTCAGCCCCTTTAGGGGCCCCGAAGGTGTAAAGATGACCTCTGCAAAGTATGTGGAGTTTATGACTGACCACTTTCTTCCCTGGTACAGAAGGAAGAACTATGCTTTCCGTAATAAAATCATCTTCATGCATGACAATGCACCATCTCATGCTGCAAAGAATACCTCTGCATCAATGGCTGCTATGGGGATAAAAGGAGAGAAAGTCATGGTGTGGTATCCATTCTCCCCTGACCTCAATCCTATTGAGAAACCTTTGGAGCATCCTCAAGCAAAAGATCTATGAGGGTGGGAGGCAGTTTACATCCAAACAGCAGCTCTGGGAGGCTATTCTGACATCTTGCAAACAAATTCAAGCAGAAAAACTGTCCAAAAACTCACAAGTTCAATGGATGCAAGACTTGTAAAGCTGCTATCAAATAAGGGGTCCTATGTTACAATGTAACGTGACCTGTTCAAATGTTTAAAAAGTTAAAATGTTGTTAAAAGTTTGATTGAAATATCTTTTGATTTCAGTAAATATGCTGCAAACACAACAAATGACAATTTTCAGTTCTTTACAACCTATAAAGTGTTTTGAAACTTCCTGTGCGGAATAATTTGGAACAGTAAGTTTTTTTTGAATGTTTAAAAAAAATACTGTTATCATTAGGAGGTTTGTTCAATAAAAATGTGAATTGTACTCTTAATAGTTGATAACATGAGAATTATGCTGACTGTTATTTACATCAATTATTTAGCTAAATGAGAAAAATATAATTTGCATAATAATTTGGAACAGGGTGTATAAATGTTTGCCTAGAAACACACCTTAAATGTGGCGTCGGCCTCCTGTTAGCGGCTTTAAAGGCTAAGTTCACTCTTTGAACACGTTACATGTTCCACCTGTTTTTATGGTGAAACACGGAACATGTTCCAGCTCCTGCACCTTATTCCCCTGTTCGCGTAAGCACATCTTTCTACTGTTTACCGGATCCCCCTTCCTCTGTGACAGTGGGCAAGGGATCTTCTCCCTGTACCCATTGTCACAAATTAAAATGAGCTCTGCCCACATAGTTGCATCATCCATTCACAGAATTCTGTGAAAAGATGAACTACAAGTGTTTGGTAGGGCCAAGGTCAGGAGCTCTGTGCAGACCACTTGAGTTCCTCCACACCAAACCGTGTCTTTATGGAGTTAGATTTTTCAAAAGGTGCACAGTTGTGCTGGAACAGAAAAGATCAGAGGTGCACCATGATCTTTGTTGTAGCATTAGCATTAACCCGTTCCCACCCGCCCTGGCATCCTCTTTAAAGTTCTTAAAGCTTAAGGTAATGGGAAGAATCGGCGATCATATGACTACTATGACTGGCTGTCCCAGTGGTCACATGATCTGAAGCTGGCTACCAATGTTTAGTTGGAACCAGAGCTGTTTTTGGCATAAACATTGCTTGCCCAGTGACACATATGTGCAGCATGCGGGCATTAAAGCCCACCTTTTTGAATGCACATGTGTGTTACTGGGGTGTAAAGGAGTTATGAAAACCTTTAACTGGAAGTACCTGAAGTCAACAATTTGGAGAGGGGTATGCATACTTTTGGCTATAGAGTGCAGCAAGTCCCGTCCCGATGGCGCAAAGCCTCTTACCAGCTCTAAGCAGAATGACCTGATCGTCCAGCGCCAGCTCAGAGAAATGGGGTATCCTCTTGGCCCATTCGACAAGAGTAAAAAGTTGTTTATCAGCAGCTTGACAGATGTTAGTAACTGGGTCACTTGGCTGGAGAAAGATGGAGACAGAAGAGCACAGTCAAATACGGCAGCATTCTCCACTTCTAGGTTCAGTAAGGCTAAATGAAGCAGACAAAATCCAACAACCACAGAGAACACAGCTAATACACAGTGAAAGCAGCAAAGTAACATCATCCACTCACTTCATTGTGGGGAGGTAGAAAGGTAATAAATGTGGGGGGGGGGGGGGGGGGGGGGGGGGCAGCTAAACTATAGATGGGCACACACACCATTAGTTTTCTTTTTGTTCAATCAGCTGGCTGAATGGAAAAAAACAAAAAAAAACTAAGACTCCTCCATCCACACAAGAGAGGAGGATAAAGGGTTGGCTATGGAACCAAACCACAGATCCCAGTAGGGAACAAGATCCTTACTCCTGAAACACTAGGCAGAAAAAAAGCTGGCTTGCCTATAGCAGGAAGGGGGTTCATACCAGCTAAGACTGCCCAGAGGCGGTGCTGTGCTCATTTGCTCCCTAGTGTCCTACTCCTGTAGGTGGCGCTATAACCCTATGAAGAGAAGCTGTGTCCATCAATGTACGCAAGAGAATTGTGCTTTTTTTTGCATTTCAGCCTGCAGAGCATTGCAAAAACATCATCAGTGCATTGTTATGCAATGCTCAGGTTCCTGCAGACTATTTCCCTGGACCTCGAGTTTTGGGGCTGGATGTAGTATCAATGGACTACAAATGCAGTGCTGTTACCACACACGTACTCCATTGAGATGTACTCTGACCAGGGTTCACGTTACATCCTAAATATGGGTGTACCACAAAACATGTTCAGAAATGGGGACTTTTTTAAAGTCCATGTCTGACTTGGTCATGAATGGAACTGATGCCAGCGTCATTCAACACTTTCTGTGAGCCCAGGGCCCCAATGCTTCACCTATTGCTAGGCTTCACAGGAGAATTCTCTCTGCAGAATTTACTAAACAGAGGAGCTGCTCATTGCAACATTTAGGATCGGCCAACTGCCACATTGACAGAGAACAATCTAAGCCTGTGACGTCAGAAGACTGGACCAAAGACATTGGAAAAAGGGTGTGTATAGGTTGTCATGGAGCCCCTTTATGTAAGTGAGAGGCCGTGACACCCAAGGATGGTAGAAGGGGCTTCCAATCATGCAGCACTTTGACTGCACAGTGCTGACGTCATCAGGAGCCCTTCCTATCAGCTTACAATCAACAGTAGTCGATCATGAGCTGTTGGTGACAGTCCTAGAGGCACCGACAAGACAGCAAGGCATATATGTGGTAGTTGGGCGAATTGCTGTTGCAAAGGTGATAAGCAGGCCAATAATGGTGAAAGCATCTGTGCCTCTAAGGCATCTGCAACATGGAAAAACCTACACTGCTCAAAAAAATTAAAGGAACACTTTTGTTTTTTTTTTTGGTTGAACTGGATGGACTTTTGTCTTTTTTCTGCCAGACTAACTATGTAACTAAAATGTAACCTTGAAAACACATCAGATCTCAATGGGGACAAATCTCCTGCTGGATATCTATACTGATATGGACGGGGTAATGTGTTAGGAACGTAAGGCTGCCCCATCGTTTGATGGAAATGAAAATCAGCAACCTACAGAGGAGTTAATTCAAAGACACCCCGAAAATCAAAAGTGAAAAAATGACGCAGCAGGCGAGTCCATTTTGCTGAAATTTCGTTGCAGCAACTCAGAATAGGTCCTCCGTAGTTTGGCCCCACATGCTTGTATGCATGCCTGACGTCTGGGCATGCTCCTAATGAGACGACGGATGGGGGGGGGGGATTTCCTGCCAGATCTGGACCAGGGCATCACTGAGCTCCTGGACAGTCTGAGGAGCAACCTGGAGGTGTCAGATGGACCGAAACATGACATCCCAGAGGTGTTCTATTGGATTTAGGTCAGGCGAGCGTGGGGGCCATTCACTGGTATCAATTCCTTCAACCTCCAGGAACTGCCTGCATATTCTCCCTACGTGAGGCAGGGCATTGTCGTGCACCAGGAGGAACCCAGGATCCACTGCACCAGTAGGGTCTGACAATGGGTCTAAGGATTTCATCCCAATACCTAATGGTAGTCAGGGTGCCATTGTCTAGCCTGTAGAAGTCTGTGTGTCCCTCCATGGATATGCCTCCCCAGACCATCACTGACCCACCACCAAAACAGTCATGCTGAACGATGTTACAGGCAGCAGAACGTTCTCTATGGCTTCTCCAGGCCCTTTCACGTCTGTCACATGTGCTCAGGGGAACCTGCTCTCATCTGTGAAAAGCACAGGGTGCCAGTGGCGGACCTCCCAATTCTGGTGTTCAAAGCAAATGCCAATCGAGCTCTATGGTGCCGGGCAGTGAGCACAGGCCCCACTAGAGGACGTCAGGCCCTCAGGCCCCCCTCATGAAGTCTGTTTCTGATTTTTGGTCAGACATTCACACCAGTGGCCTGCTGGAGGTCATTTTGTAGGGCTGGTAGTGCTCATCCTGTTCATCCTTGCACAAAGGAACAGATAGCAGTCCTGCTGATGGGTTAAGGACCTTCTACGGCCCTGTCCAGCTCTCCTAGAGTAACTTCCTGTCTCCTGGAATCTCCTCCATGCTCTTGAGACTGTGCTGGGAGACACAGCAAACCTTCTGGCAATAGCACATATTGATGTGCCATCCTGGAGGAGTTGGACTGCCTGTGTGACCACTGTAGGGTCCAGGTATCGCCTCATGCTACCGGTAGTGACAATGATGCTAGCCAAATGCAAAACTAGTGAAAAATAGTCAGAAAAAATGAGTAGGGGAAAATAAATGCCCGTGTGCCCTCCACCTGTAAAACCATTCCTGTTTTGGGGGTCGTCTCATTGTTGCCCATCTAGTGCACCTGTTTTAATTTCATTAACACCAAAGCAGCTGAAACTGATTGACAACCCCCTCTGCTACTTAACTGACCAGATCAATATCCCAGGAGTTTCATTGACTTGATGCTATACTCTGATTAAAAAGTGTTCCTTTAATTGTTTTTGAGCGTGTATTATCTTAATGCTGTACATAACACATGAATGGTAATGCACATTTAAAATCAAGTTAAAAATTCAGATTTAACAAACACAAGTGCATGTGAAAACAGAGCAGTAAGGCAAGTTGATAGCTATATGCCACGGATTTTTGTTTAACCTAAAATTATGGAATTAAGAACTGGGATTACAGTCTATATTACTGTCCATAGCCATTAGGGCACTACAATGGTCAGGAAACTCTAGGAGCAATAATACAACATTAACCCAGCAGAATGAAAAACGAGAAGCGCACCAACCTTGCGCATTACCTCAGTAACCAAAATTTATTAATTGTAAAAAATATACTCACAAACAGCGAATGAAATCAGGCATGTAAGTCCTCAAAGGGACTTGAAAATAGCGCGAATCCCATCAAGGGGATAGGTATTCAGTACAGCTGACGCATTTCGAAGGGTGTCCCTTCTTCATCAGACAAAGAAGGTTCTCATCCAAGATTTTACAATACATGGCCCTGTCCATTGGCCCCTCCATGCTGCAAAGTCAGCCTCTACCTTTACCAGACAAATGTCTGATGAAGAAGGGACACCCTTCGAAACGCGTCAGCTGTACTGAATACCTATCCCCTTGATGGGATTTGCGCTATCTTCAAGTCCCTTTGAGGACTTACATGCCTGATTTCATTCGCTGTTTGTGAGTATATTTTTTACAATTAATACATTTTGGTTCTGAGGTAATACGCAAGGTTGGTGCGCTTCTCGGTTTCATTTCATTCTGCAGTATTGGTTGGGCTTCCCCAGCCTTGTTTTGGAGCCGCACAACCCTTTATGCATTGGTGGACGATTTTTCCAGGTCTGGTTTCATCCATTCGCCACCTGTCTGGGTCCTAGAGCGCAGGAGAATTCGTCTTTGATTAACCCAGCAGAGTTTCTGGGTTTCTGGAGGAAACTGAAAGCAATGAGGATACAGCACAGCCAAGACCCCAGCACTGGAAGAGCATAGCAAGGTACTCACAGATCCACCGCCTTCGAGGCTTTGATCGCTCTTCTGTTCTACGGCCAGTTCAGCTTCCAGAATCTTCTCCACTGGCATGTCGTCGTTTATGGTTCCACCAAGATCACAATCTCCTTCCCGCTCTCGGCCTCGCTGGCGCTCCTCCTGTACAGCTGAAGGAGACATTACTCAAATTTAAAGCCAAACTCTAGTCAATAGGAGTTTCTAATTTCTGATATAATGGAACAGGAAATGGTTATGTCTCATGCACACGATGGATGCTATGGCCATCTCTAGTCCTAGACGCCTTTTCTCTCTGCAGTGGCGTTTTGGCAGAAAAAAACCGCTTAACATTTGTAAACGCATGTTTGGGCGCGACAAGAGCTTGGACATGAATTCATTTCATTGGCCATAATAATTCATTTCAATAGCCAGAATAAATTATTAACACGCAAGCGCTAAGTGAGCTAAGGCGCGTCAAGTGTTTTTTCTGCTAAAATGCTGCTGCTTCTGGATGATTGTTCTTTTTCTTCCTCTAAACCTATGTTTGTATAGACACTTGTGGAGCATTTTGAGGCAAAAAAAAGAAAGAAAAAAAAAAGCCAGACACACCCCCAAGAGCAGCATTTAAAACATCCAGTTTGAAAGAGGCCTAGCAACCACTGCCAAGTTTGTGTTGTCTGTGTCCCCATTTGAGGGCATTTCCCTTCACTTCCTGTCCAGGTGACAGAAGTCATATGTACAGGGAGTGAGGTAAAAATGGTTGGAAACTATTTTTTTATTTTTTTTTTTTTAAACACAAACATGTTATACTTACCTGCTGTAATCAATGGAATTGCAGAGCGGCCCAAGCCTCCTCCTCTTGGGTCTCCCACCAGCAACCCTGGTTCCTCCTCTTCCCTGTGTGCCACCACAGGAAGCCATTACCTATGGTGGCACACTTGTAGGCTCAATGCTGAACCCCACTGCCTGCATCCATAGACACAGGCAGCGTGGCTCAGCCCTGCCCCCTCGAAACAGGATTTGACTGACAGCAGCAGAAGTGACAATGGCGTCCGCTGCCTCAGCAAAGCCTGTGAGAGTAGGGAGAGCCACTACAGACAGGAAGAGTGCTGGATAGAGTAAGGGCTCAAGCAAGTATAAGGAGAGGCGAGGGGGCAATACTGCCACCTAAACATTTACCTGAATGCAAGGTTATAGAACCACTTTAAATGTCCTCCGAGGGGTCATAGACGACAATACCATCCGTAAAGAGGGTTTAACTGCCCGACCTCTATCTGAAACCTGGTAGGGTTTGGCATTAGCCCAACAGTGCTTTGGGAACTTTTAATCATTACCTGCTTCTATGCGGCTATCTGAATTTACTGGCAATAAAAGCCTCTCAAAGGTTGACCATCAAGCCTGCTCTGTATACTAATACCTACCACTGGTACATTCCATTCCTAATGCGAAGGACGGCCATCTAGTTCCCTTAAAGTGATATTAAACCATTTAGGATGCCGATGACTTGCCATGCACTCTGATGTCTGTGGCTCTATCCTCCCTTTTAGCTGATCCTCTGATTGCTGGCTCGGATTTCCATTTTTAGGGTGGCTCCAGGCTTGCAGGGTCCTTCTGGAACCACCCTTACAATGGGGAAAATAATTATTTGATCCCACTTAAATGTAAGATTTTGTAAGTTTGCCCACTTACATAAAAATGAAGGGTCTATAATTTTTATCATTGGTGTATTTTAAAATGATAGAGACAGAATATCTACCAAAAAAACCCCAGAAAAAACACGATACAAATGTTATAAAATGAGTTGCAGTTCAGTGAGTAAAATAAGTATTTGATCCACAAGCAAAACACGACTTAGTACTTGGTGGGAAAACCCTTGTTGGCAAGCACAGAGGTAAAACGTTTCTTGTAGTTAATTCCCAGGTTTGTAAAAATCTCAGGAGGGATTTTGGTCCACTCTTCTTTACAGATCTTCTCTAAATCCTTAAAACCCACAACACTAAAATCAGTCTGTATATGCAGTAAAGAATGCTTGTTATACTCGCTGTGGAAACTAAGGAGTTAATCCTCTGCATAAAAAAGAATGTGTAATCCTGACTTCTCTGATCCTCCCCTTCTTCCAGTGTCTACTAAATATCTCCTGATAGAACAGAGGCTCAAGGGAAAGCTGCACATGATCATTTTGCTGTGTATTGCTAGAGTTTTTCTTTGTTGGGAGAGTGCATGTGATCAGCACAGGGCCAATCAGCACTTTCCACACAAAAGGTCAGGGGTTCTGCATCCACCTATAGGAGAATGAAGACTCATCCTACAAGCTGTAACCAGTGCTCTGCTGGACACTGATAGAAGGCACAGGACTGCTCTAAATGAAGAGAAAAGGTATTTAGCCGTTTATATTTACTTTAATAATTGAATTTCCACATTCTGTGTACTGTGGGAGACCAGATATAGTGAATGCAGGGTACCGGGGAGACCAGATATAGTGAATGCAGGGTCCTGGGAGAGTGGATATAGTGAATGCAGGGTCCGGGGAGACCAGATATAGTGAACGCAGGGTCCGGGGAGACCAGATATAGTGAACGCAGGGTCCGGGGAGACCAGATATAGTGAACGCAGGGTCCGGGGAGACCGGATATAGTGAATTCAGGGTCCGGGGAGACCAGATATAGTAAACGCAGGGTCCTGGGAGACCAGATATAGTAAAGGCAGGGTCCGGGGGAGACCAGATATAGTAAAGGCAGGGTCCTGGGAGACCAGATATAGTAAAGGCAGGGTCCGGGGAGACCAGATATAGTGAATGCAGGGTCCTGGGAGAGTGGATATAGTGAATGCAGGGTCCGGGGAGACCAGATATAGTGAATGCAGGGTCCGGGGAGACCAGATATAGTAAAGGCAGGGTCCTGGGAGACCAGATATAGTAAAGGCAGGGTCCTGGGAGACCAGATATAGTAAAGGCAGGGTCCTGGGAGACCAGATATAGTAAAGGCAGGGTCCTGGGAGACCAGATATAGTAAATGCAGGGTCTTGGGAGACCAGGTGAATGCGGGGTCCTGGGAGACCAGATATAGTAAATGCAGGGTCCTGGGAGACCGGATATAGTGAATGCACCGAGGAGACCGGATATAGTGAATGCAGGGTCCCAGATATAGGAATGCAGGGACCGGATATAGTGAATGCAGGGACTTGGGAGACCGGATATAGTGAATGCAGGGTCCGGGGAGAGCGGATATAGTGAATGCAGGGTCCTGGGTTTAATAACACTTTAAGGTTTCTTGGATGTCGCTTGGCAACTTCAAGTTTCAGCTCCCTCCACAATTTTTTTTATAGGATTAAGGTCTGGAGATTGGCTAGGCCACTCCATGACCTTAATGTGCTTCTTCTTGAGCCACTATTTTGTTGCCTTGGCGTTATGTTTTGAGTCATTGTCATGCTGGAAGACCCATCTTCAGTGTTCTGGATGATGGAAGAAGGTTCTCATCCAAGATTTTACAATACATGGCCCCGTCCATTGGCCCCTCAATGCTGCAAAGTCTGGCCTGTACCTTTACCAGAAAAACAGCCCCAAAGCATAATGTTTCCACCTCCATGATTGACTGTAGGGATGGTGTTCTTAGTGTCATAGTCAGCATTTTTGTTCCTCTAAACATGGCAAATCGAGTTAATGCTCAATTTTGGTCTCATTTGACCAAAGCACTTTCTCCCAAATCTCTAAGAAGAGGACTACATCCCTATTGTCAGGACCCTGCGCCTACATGCACAGGCAACCCAAGAGGACAACAAACATAGGGCGCACCTCTGCACCTCCTCCGAGAGAAGTGATTGATAGCGGCTCTGAAGCAGTGCTACCATTGAGGAGGAGACATAGGCGTGTCTTGTTTTAATTATGCTTTCAAGATGCTTGAATATGTCTGCACAGGCCATGTCCACACAACAGCCAACAGGGCGTGCATGCGCAGCAGCAATATGAATGATGGAACATGCAGTTCTGAGTCAAGGATCTTTTTACAAAGCACCTAGGGGCTGCTGTGGGAAAATTTACAAAATTTTAAAGTGTTTATAGCTTTGTGTGCTGCTTAAAAAGTAACAAACTTTTGTTGAGAAAAAAAAACCAAAAACACTCCCCTTTGGGTGATCAATGTACGCCAGGGCCACCTGAGAGTGCCTCCTTATCAGTGCCGCCTATTAGTGCCCATCAGTGCAGCCTCATCAGAGTACATCAGTGAAGGAGAAAAAAAACTTATTCACAAAAATTTTAAACAGAACCTAAAGAAAATTTTTGTTTGGCGTGAGCAATTCCTATTGACCGATGCCATGCAGTTCCGGGTGACAGGCAGCTGATTTAAAAAGCTGGCTCTTAGATTCAAAGCAGATTTGTCAAGACCTGACTACTTATTACACAGAACATTAATATCCCCTGTTATAGCAATAGGCAGTGACAGGTACTCTTTACCGAGAGATCTGGGGTCTATTAGACCCCAAGATCTCTCCTCTGCCCTTAAAAGCTTCAAGCGATTCTAAAAGTTTAATTTTTTTGTTTTGCAAAACAAACATACATGTCTATACTTACCTACTGTATGCAGTGGTTTCGCACAGAGCAGGCCGGATCCTCCTCTTCTTGGGTCCCCCGCAGGTTCTCCTGGTTCCTCCTTTCTGTCGGGTGCCCCCAAAGCAGGTAAAGAATGTATGAAGGTAAAAAACCTTGAGCTTTTACAACCACTTTCAGGTCATAACAAGCTTGGTGTGATCCAATGATTTTTTTCAAACCCCTAAGGGTTTGTTTACAACAGCGAAACCGGAAGTGATGAAATGCTTGTCGCTTCCCATTTCTTGGACTATAGAGATGACCGGAGCCATTCTGGTCTCCAATCAGCTCTATGGTCAGCCGACAGACCCGACGACTGCACTCTTGAGTTTTCCTGTCTCACCGGGGAACTCAAGAGAGCTGCAGAAGGAAGTACCCTTCCGCTGCTTGTAAGAAAGCTGACCGCTCATATAGAGCTTTTTTGTACAAGCTCTTAGGAGCGTTTAGTGTTTTTATTCTGCTACAAAGCTTCTCTCAAAAACACAAACCAAAACGGGGTTTTTTTCTGCAGTCTGGATTACAATGAGCTGCTTTTACAGGCAAACATTTAAGCACCAGTGTGTATGGACCCTGAGACTGCACACACAGCTGCAAGTTTCCTAAACGCACGACTAAACACACAGAAAGAAGCATTTTGCCATGTATTCACAAAACGCACTGCAATCATGGGTTGTGCTTGCAGTGCCATTAATTAATAGGACCCTAATCAAGGGTAGCAGACGTGCATTTTTTTCGCACAACAAAATATGCCAAAACACACACATGGAAAAAAATGCCCGACGCTACACAACCGAAAAGGTTCTGGAACTACAGTAGTTTGCAGCACCTGCCATGCTTAAGACAGTCAATTCAAGTCACTGCGCTGCCCTAGGAGCGACGTGTTAGAACGTGAAAAATGAAGTGTGTGAATGTGTGTTTTCGCTATGCTCAGGTGTGAATGAGGTCTTAACCTCCTGGCGGTATTCCCGGGTGTAGCTCAGGGTTAATTTGCAGTGCCAAAAGCGGTAACCCCGAGCTAGACTCGGGATTACCATGCAGCGTTGCTCAGGGATTCCCAGTTTCACTTACCTTGTCCTGCGCTCCTGCGATGTCCCCCCTGAAGCGTCCCCGGCCATGTCCTCCGGCTGATGCCGGCATCCTTCTTCCGGGTTTCGATCCCTGCGAGCGTCGGGATGTACGGGGGCCAGAATCGGTGGGAAATTAAAAAATTTTAAAAAGTGACATTCACAAAATGCACACTAAAATCACATAGTAAAACATTACTGTATCAAACCATTTCACATAAATTTTGTCCCGAGTGCTTTGTCCTGCTCCCTGCCTTCATTTTTACTGTTCTTTCTGCCTGGAAACTGAGAAACGTCCATGGCGTGCAAAAAGCGTCCCTTTATGTCAAAAGCGGTTTTAGACCGGCTAGAGAACAGCGATAGTAAATCAGAACCACTTGCAGAATTGAGTGATAATGATTCGTGGGGGAAATTCGTCATCAGACACTGAAAACGATTTTGAGACTAAAATCAGTGATGTGCGAACTTGGCGCTATATTTAAAATTTCAGTGTTTTTGGTTTATATTATTGAATTAAATTTATTATATTTTTTTATGATTTATTATATTATAATTTATGATTTTGGGTTTCAAATTTTATCATACCCGGGATGTTTACTAGACTCTTGTTCGGACAGATTTCAGTGAGTTATTCCTAAAAATTACAGGCCTACAATAAAAAAAAAACGACATATTTCCATGCAAAAAAAAATGTACCGCTTTCAGCACAGAAATATTGGACAAGTAAGTGTCGGCAACCTGTTGATCATGATCTACCTGTCCATTGTGGCCATGCATTGGGTAGATCACAACCCTGCTATGAGAGCCACCAGCTCTCATTCTGATTTAACCACTTGCCGCCCTGCCACTGTAGAAATATGGCGGCAGGGCGGCACGGGCAGGCAAAACCACGTTTTAAAAACGTGTGTATTGTAAACAGATAGGGGGCGCGCCGCCGCCCTATCTGTCCCGCCGATCACCGCCGCGGATGTCAGTCGCCGGGTCACAGCCGGTCCTTACCGGCTGTTTCCCGGCGATCGGCGGCAAACAGTGACAGAGCACAGCTGCAGTAGCTGTGCTGTCTGTCACTTCCCTGACAGCTCAAGGACAAGCTGATCGAGAAAGAAGAGTTTCTCTCTCGATCAGCGGTGTCCCATGCAGCACACACCCCCGCCCCCTAGTAAAACACACCCCCTCACACAGATAACCCTTCCTTGCAAAATAAAGTTAACCCCTTCCTCCCCAGTGCCATTAGTACAGTGTCAGTGTTTGTTTTTTTTTTTGCACTGATCACTGTATTAGTGTTTTTGGGGATGTCAGTGACCCCAAGTCAGTACCCCCCAATGTTAGAATGTCCACCGCAGTCCTGCCATAAGTCGCTGGTATAAGTCACTGATCACCGCCATAATTCGCTGATCGCCGCCATTATTAGTATTAAAAAAAAAAAAAAAAAAAAAACGAAAAATCCCAGTATCTTTCCCGCCATTTGTAAACGCTATAACTTTCACGTAAACCAATTAATTTACACGTATTGGTTTTTTTTTTTTTTTTTTTAGCAAAGACATGTCGCAGAATGCATTTTGACAGAAATTTATGACTAAATTAGATTTTTGCATTTTTTTTTTTTTACTGGACATGTTTTATAGCAAAAAGTCCAAAATATTGTTTTTTTTTTTCCTCAAAATTGTCAGCCTTTTTTTTTTATAGCGCAAAAAATAAAAACCGCACAGGCAATCAAATACCACCAAAAGAAATCTCAATTTGTGGGAAAAAAAAAAGATTGTAAATTTCATTTATGTACCATATTGCATGACCGCGCAATTGTCCATTAAACTAGCGCAGCGCTGTATAGCAGAAAAATGGCGTAAATTGCAGTATCTATACCATAGTTTGTAGACGCTATAACTTCACACAAAGCAATCAATATACACTTATTGGGATTTTTGTTACCAAAAACATGGAGCAGAATACATTTTGGCCTAAATTTTATAACCAACTTTGAGTTTACTATATATTTTTTATAGCTGAAAGTAAAAAATATTGTTTTTCTTCAAACTTTTTTGCCTTTTTTTGTTTATAGCGTGAAAAATAAAAAGCGCACAGATGATCAAATACCACCGAAAGAAAGCTCTATTTGTGTGAAAAAAAGGACGTAAATTTCGTTTGGGTGCAGCATTGCATGACCGCGCAATTGTCAGTTGATTTAGTGCAGCGCCGAGTAGCAAAAGAGGCCTGGTCATTAAGGGGGGTAAATCCTCAGGAGCTCAAGTGGTTAAGGTCCACTATATTAACTACAGAACAGAAGCAGGTAAGGATTTGCAATAAAGATCATTGTGTACAGTTGAACTGATTCTAAAGAATGGCGGTGCTTGCTATATCCTGATTATACTACAGTTCATTCTGGAATTAGAGGTACGATATGATCCAATAATACAGACACTATTAATACTTGTACTCGCTACAAAAAAGGGAACAAATATAAAACAAAAGAGCAGTTACCCTCTCTCTTCATGCCAGTGGCCAAACACTTTTGATAACGGCAGTATTGGCAGCGGTTCCTCTGTCTCTTGTCCACAATACAGTCCTTGTTGTCCCGGCAGGTATAGGTCAGGTCTTTGCGGATAGTACGCTTGAAGAAGCCCTTACATCCTTCACAGCTGTACACCCCATAGTGCTTCCCTGGGGGGACACAAACCAGAAAACTTATCAGGAAAGTATTAATAAGTGCTCAGCTAATTAGTCCCTGCAGAACTGAATGAAATCAGAACACGGCTTTAGTCTGGCCATACACATACATTTAATATCCATTTGATTGTTCATTGCTTTAAGTGGAACTTCACTTTCTCAATCAACATTGACCATTTTGAATCCTTGTGCTGCTAGCATTAGCAAGTAGATAGGAAAGTATAAAAGAAATAATCACTCGGCAACTCACAAAAATAAATATAAATTCCAACTTATAATACCAAGAAAAAGTCACACTTTCACCCTTGAAAGTAAAAATTAATATTCAAACCTTTTTTCCTTTCCTTAAATAGAATAAATCACCCAATAATAAAATTAAAATCATTTTAGTTTTATTTATTGGGTACAGGGTGGATAAAAATCAATGATTTATTTAAAAAAAAAAAAAATAAAAAAAAAAAAAAAAAAAAAAAATCGGATTTTTTTAATTTAAATTGGATTTTTTAAAATAAAATGCTTTTTGAGGAAAATATATTACCATCCTTTTTTTTTTTTTTTTTTTTTTTTTTTTTTTTTCCTTTTAAAGGTATGCCATCATGAAATAAAGATTAGTTTTTGAATTATAGTTTAGATAAGGTTATTCCATCATGAAATAAAGATTAGTTTTTTAATTATGTAGAATAAGGCTGTATATGTTTAATTTTTTTGGGTAAATAAATTCCATGAATCCATTCACAATGTTTATGCTCTTCCAGAGGTTTTTGTGAGATTATTGGGCAGTTTCTCTGCCTACAAGATATTATCACAGATGATCGGTTTACTTTTGCAGTTCTCAAAACTGAATTTGACTCAGCGGAGATCACATGCCTCTTCTTCACAGCAAAAATGTTATAACATGAACAGAGTTAAGAAAAAGACCTTCATCCTAACTTCTACAAACCTATGAATACAGAATCAACCCCTTCACTGCTAAGTTTCAAGAAGTTCAGTGAATAGAATAGAAACAATATTTTTCTGATTGTTTGGAGTGGAATAGATCTGCACAAGAAGAAAGCGACACTAAGTGTGAGGAGGAGGAAGGGGCTGACAGTCTAAGTTTCTTCAAATATATATATTTTGTTTAGCCAAATTAGTTACCAAAAATGGATGTTTAAGCCAATCACATATGCTGGAATGTTATTGTTTCAGTTGAATAAATCTATTTATATTGTTATTATTAAATGTAATTAATTTTTTTCTCCTTCCTAAGTACAACAGAAAAGTTGTCCAAATATGAATGATTAACCTATTATACTGGGGATGAAAAAAATAATATGAAAAGTTATTTCTAAAAATCTTCATCTACTTGCATATTAAAGTTATACCAGCAAGAATTAGTCTTTATGTAGAAAACTGATTTAAATCAAGCCTGACTAGTGATTTAAATCGTGATTTACATCTAATCCACCCTGATTGGGTAATTTATTAATTCTATTTAAGGAAAGGAAAAAAGGTTTGAATATTATAGATAGGAAAGTGATAAAGTATATTATATTTACGCAACAGTTTCCATTTTTTTTCACTTAGTCCTGGTATTCATGTCTAAATGATGGCATACATCCCTGGAGTCTTCAGGAGGCGTTTTTATCAGCTAAGCACAACTTCCTACCTGCATGCCTGAGCTAAAGGTAGATGGATTCCATGATGTAAAGGCTACATGAATCATCTGCCCTTACTCAAGATGCCAGGAGGGTGCTTCTCTAAGCGGTTTCTCAGCAGAATAAAGCAAGGAGACATGGATGAGTTTGCTTTGAAAATTAAGAATGAATTAAATAGCGCTTTGGGTTTGTGGTGCTCAGATATAGTGTAGTACCGCATTATTCAACTGTATTTTTAACCCCTTGGCGCCACGCCTCCCAGTCCTTTAAGTGGCTTGTGATGCCGGGAGGGGGGAGAAGTTTATGATCACGTGATTGCCGCGATTTACAGTCACAAGTAGCGCTCGAGAGCTTTCCTACAGGCGCTTGTAACTGTGCCAGGAGCGCACAGGGAACGCGGTCTCAGCACATTTTCATTTACATCTGGTAGGTAAATATGCAACCTCTTGGCGTCAAGGCCCACCCGCTGACAGGCCGCATATCTGAGTACCGCCCGCGCCAAGAGGTTAAACAATCTCTCATTACAGGCCTGTTGCACACGGGAGTAAAAAATGATTTTACAGATCTGCAATGAGATGCTTCGTTGTCTATGGGACATTGCACACAGCTGAGTAAAGATCAGTAATAGTGTTGAGTACAGAGCAGTAGTTTTGCGGCAGCAATCTACTTGTGTGTTTACGCGTTTAGGCCCCTTGTACACGAACATCACAAAGAGATGTTTGCTCAGGAACTTGTGATGGCTGTATGCAAGGGGCCACAATACTGGCAATGAAGAATTTTACTTGTCTATACGTTTACACGTCTTTACTCGCCTATGCTCAACATTACGCAGGTCTTTATATGGTTTTTGGCCCCTTGCACACAGGCATCACAGGTTCATGAGTAAACATCGGTAATTTATGATGCCCATGTGCAAGGGGCCTTAACCAGTCGCTGATTGCATAACGCCCTTATGCCACGACAAAGTGGCTCTCCTGTGCCGGATATCGTACCTATTACATGATCTGACACTTCCAGGTAAGGCGTGCGTGCGTCAGCTGTGCTGTGATTAGACACTGCACAGCCCAATCAGCAGGTGTCAGCCAATGGAGGACTCCCAACACCCGCTGATCGGGGAGAAGGAAGACAGAACAGAGCTCGGCTTACGTAAACAATGCAGGCTCTGTCCTGACAGTGGGGATATGGCTGTTTTTGTCTCCCTACAAAGCAGGGAATAAAAACAGTTATATCCCTCGGTAAAAGCAGCACAGTTCACACAAACACTGTTTATGCGCACATTTAACCGTTTGATCGTCCTAGATGGTAATCCCTTCTCAGTCAGTGTCATTAGTACAGTGACAGTGCACATTTTTAGCACTGATCACTGTATTAGTGTCACTGGTTCCCACGAAGTGTCCGTATCAGACTGCCCGCCATGATATCACAATAACGCTACAAGTCGCCAATATCAACTATTACTAGTATTAAAAAAAATAAAAAAAAAAGTCCACTAAGTATAGCATAGTTTGTAGACGCTACAATGTTCGGGTTAACCAAATCAATAAACACTTATTGGGATTTTAACCAAAAATATGTAGCAAAATACATTTTGGCTTTAGTTTATGAAGACCTTTCATTTTTTTTTAAAAAAACATTTTTTTATTGGATATGTTTTATAGCTGAAAGTAAAAAATATTGTTCTTCAAAATTTTTGGTCTTTTTTCATTTATAGCGCAAAAAAAATAAACCCAGTGGTGATCAAAACACCAACAAAAGAAAGCTCTATTTGTGGGGGGGGAAAAAAAAATATATAAATTTCATTTTATATATAAATTTCAATTTCATTTGCGTTCCATGACCGCACAATTGTCAGTTAAAATAACGCAGTGCCATAAAGCAAAAAAAAAAAAAAAATGGGCTGGTCATGTAGGGAGGGAAAATCTTCCGCAGGTCAAGTGGTTAACCACTTCAAGTCCGGACACAAAACAAAACCCACTAACTAATCATCAGTCAGGATGAAGGATGCTACCTGTGTTTGGCTTGAATCAGTTTGATCCCAGCAGGGAATCGATGACACCCAGAATCCTCATCTCTGTGTTTACATTACCACAGCAACAGGGATCTGTCATTTAATGACAGGACAGCGGCAGGGACACATTGTACTGCAACAGGTCATTGTAATTGACAGTGGATCTTCATCAGTCATGGGAAGATATCAGTATAATTGGTCACTTTCATTCTCATCTTTTTTACTCCGTGCCACACCTAATCTATCCCCCCCCCCCCCCAAAAAAAGAGGGATCTTACGGCTTACAGCCCTAAAGTGTGATTGCTGTCTGGGGCAAAAATATTAAGTTGCTCTTCGTGATCTGGCAATATCTAATCATTCTATTAAAATAGTGCCATCTTAGAATACATCAGGCAGTGTACACAGTATACATCTCTAGATGACAAAACCCCCACTGTACACTCACCAGAGGAGCGGTCTCCGCAGATGGCGCACAACCTTTTCCCACTGGCTCCTCCTCCGTTGGGATGTCCTTGCATGGCTCTCATCCCCAGTGGGGGCTTCACATCTTCAGAGGAGCTGACTGGGTGCAGACTGGACAGAACGGTAGAATTTATCTGTAGTGAGAAACACAGATTGCAGAGGTTACAGCAAACACCAGACAACTGGGAAATGTTACTGCAGTCAAAGTCCATTTAAAAACCAAGAAGCAAGCCAAGGTGGCCACTAGATGTCGCTGTACCAAAACAAACCTTCCATGTGCACCCTGCAGCCAATGGTGTTGGTTTGTCTGCCAGAACACCAAATAGAAATACAATAGCGTGACAAAGTCTGCCATGTACCCTATCAGAGAATTGATCAGATCGTGGGAACCTCCCAAACCCTATGAGCCAGTAAACAGTCAATACATCACAGTGCACTGAGGCTCCCCCATATGATACCTTATGTGGGAAAACGTCATGAAGAGGAGACCTGACAGGACACAACTACAGAACCTCCAAAGAGAGGAAATTGTTGACACGACATCAAAAACATCTTGTGACACCGTGGTTTGGTTTTGTAATAGCTGTGTGGACAGGGAACTTTGCCACTGGAACTCTGATTAGATTAGAAAGCCGTTACCTTTTAAAAGAAAAAGAAAAAAAAACCCCAACATTTTTCTGTTTAGTATTGCAAAGAGTTGTGAAGGATTGGAAGAACTTTTATCACACATTTCAGCGTTTTTGTTTTTTTTTTTTTTTTTTTTTTTTGGGGGGGGGGGGGGGGGGGGGGGGATTTCCCTTCATTTCCTTTCGTCTGGCACACAGACATGCAGATGAGCTGCCTGAGAATGCAACCTTTTCCACCAGTCTGTAGTCTGTCCTAAGATTACCTCACACTTCCTGATCTGTCACACAATAGAAGCCAGACAAAAGAGAAAGTCAGCAATAAAAGCCTAACAGAGGGTCTAACTCCTCCACTAAATCCAAAAGTAAAAAAAAAGTGAAAAAGTTGTGCTTTCACCTGCATTGGTTAGTTTTGATCATCAGCAGTGACTAAGCATCTCAGCTCTTCCCCGTTCCCCTCTCCCAGCACTGACAGTGACTGAGCATCTCAGCTCTTCCCCGCTCCCCTCTCCCAGCACTGACTGAGCATCTCAGCTCTTCCCCGCTCCCCTCTCCCAGCACTGAGCATGAGCTCTTCCCCATCCCTCTCCCAGCTGTGACTGAGCATCTCAGCTCTTCCCCGCTCTCCCTCTCCCAGCTGTGACTGAGCATCTCAGCTCTTCCCCACTCCCCTCTCCCAGCATGTGACTGAGCATCTCAGCTCTTCCCCGCTCTCCTCTCCCAGCACTGACTGAGCATCTCAGCTCTTCTCTCCCCGCTGTGACTGAGCATCCCTCTCCCAGCTGTGACACTGACCCCTCTCCCCAGCAGCAGCTCTGAGCACTGACTGAGCATCTTCCCCACTCCCCTCTCCCAGCTCTGAGCATCTCAGCTCTTCCCCGTTCCCCTCTCCCAGCAGTGACCTCAGAGCATCTCCCAACTCTTCCCTTCCCCGCTCCCCTCTCCCAGCAGTGACCGAGCATCTCAGCTCTTCCCAGCTCCCTCTCCCAGCAGTGACTGAGCATCTGAACTCTTCCCCGATCCCCTCTCCCAGCAGTGAAGCATTTCAGCTCTTACCCGCTCTTCCCCAGCAGTGACCGAGCTCCCCTCTCCCAGCACTGACTGAGCATCTCAGCTCTTCCCGCTCCCCGCTCCCCTTCCCAGCACTGACTGAGCATCTCAGCTCTTCCCCGCTCCCCTCTCCCAGCACTGACTGAGCATCTCAGCTCTTCCCCTCCCCTCTCCCACCAGTCACTGAGCATCTCAGCTCTTCCCGTCCCCTCTCCACCAGTCACTGAGCATCTCAGCTCTTCCCCGCTCTCTTCTCCCAGGAATGACTCAGCATTACAGCTCTATAAATGAATACAAAGCTTCCTCTGATTGGCTGAGGCGGGCGAATGATGTCACAATACCTGCCTCAGCCAGAGGAAGCTATGCATCCATTCATACAATACAAGGCTTCCCATGAATGGCTGAGCAGCACTCAGCCCAATTCTATTTTGTTCCCGGAACAGGAAGTCCCCAACCTATTGGTGAAGCACGGTGTTTTTACCATATGGAGCTGAGGATACATACAATTATTACAGCTCAGAAAACACAACTGTTCGGGCACTAAATAGTTGGTTCAGGCCAGCCTAGCCCAACAGAACTACTTAAAGGGACATTAAAATGTGAAGTTAAGGTATAAAGTGGTTGTTAACCTCAAACATGAAATATGAACAAAGCATAACCCTCTATAGTGTGTACTTGACCTAAGTGTCATTTCTGTCTGCTGCCTCCTTCCTCTATCAGTATGAAACACGACTGACAAGCACTTTACACAGCGTCTCTCACCACCTACCATGCAAAACAAAGCCAGCAACTTGAGATGGGAGTCCTCACAAGCAAAGGAGATCATTTGCTTTCACATACAAAACAGAATTATCTGAGAGCAAGGTCCCAAGCAGGATGGGATTTGTCTGAATGGAGCTTTTGTATTTGGCCTCTGCTACTTTTCCTAATAAAACCACAAACAATTAACAGAACTCTTAACATAGTTCACCCGCTGGCGGCTCATTTGCTCAGCCTTAAGAATTCAAATGACCTCATGAATATTGGTGGCACTAAACAATTTATCTCATTTGACTGTGCAAACATATTTTTCCAATGCATGGACCTTCTGATCACTTCTGTGTGTTGGAAAAGCAGACAGAAGCCACCAATTCTTTTCTCCCTTTCAGCACCAACACCAAATGAAAGAGCACCTAAAGACAATACAAACTTTAGATCCGCCTGCCCCCATGCTCTAATCTCTGCAAAACCAAGCAAGAACAGCCAAAGACTTAGCCATTACCCAGACCCAACCATGGGATTGGATGGTCCCGCTAAAACCCCACTACCTCTGGCAAAAAACAGGGGCAGGTTCTGGCTCTGTGTAAAGCACTGATTAGCTGCCTCAGTAGTCCCAATCCAATTTAATATAGAAAACTGACAGCTCATCTGTCATCCTCATTCTTACCGGGGGAAAATGCACTTTGCACATTGGGTTTGGCTATTGTACAACAATAATGAAGACTGATGGATTCCATATCATCTCTAAAGGCAAACAGGGCAGAACAGTTGCTTGGTGATTAGCACTCCTGCCCTGCAGAACAAATTTCAACCATGACACTACATGCATGGAGTTTGCATGTTTTTCCCTGTACTTGCCTGGGATTCCTCCAGTTTCCTTCCACACTCCAAAAGACACGCTGGTAAGCTATCTCCAGTTTAAATAGGCCCCAGTATGTATGCATGCATGTATGTGAGAGGTAGGGTCCTTAGATATAAAGCTCCCTGAAGGATAGTTCACACCACAAATCACACAGGAACGTGCTGCGTGTTACTGTACGATTCACATACGATCCGAGTGCAGTGCAATCTCAGTCCATTCATTTCAATGAGTTGAAATATCACCAGAACGTGGTTGCAAATCCTTTGCAGTCAATTACAGCCTGAAGTGTGGAACGCATAGACATCACCAGACGCTGGGTTTCATCCCTGGTGATGCTCTGCCAGGCCTCTACTGCAACTGTCTTCAGTTCCTGCTTATTCTTGGGGCATTTTCCCTTCAGTTTTGTCTTCAGCAAGTGAAATGCATGCTCAATCGGATTCAGGTCAGGTGATTGACTTGGCCATTACATAACATTCCACTTCTTTCCCTTAAAAAACTCTTTGGTTGCTTTTGCAGTCTGCTTTGGGTCATTGTCCATCTGCACTGTGAAGCGTCCAATGAGTTGTGAAGCATTTGGCTGAATATGAGCAGATAATATTCCCGAAACACTTCAGCATTCATCCTGCTGCTCTTGTCAGCAGTCACATCATCAATAAATACAAGAGAACCAGTTCCATTGGCAGCCATACATGCACACGCCATGACACTACCACCACCATGCTTCACTGATGAGGTGGTATGCTTAGGATCATGAGCAGTTCCTTTCCTTCTCCATACTCTTCTCTTCCCATCACTCTGGTACAAGTTGATCTCGGTCTCATCTGTCCATAGGATGTTGTTCCAGAACTGTGAAGGCTTTTTTTTTAGATGTCGTTTGGCAAACTCTAATCTGGCCTTCCTGTTTTTGAGGCTCACCAATGGTTTACATCTTGTGGTGAACCCTCTGTATTCACTCTGAAGTCTTCTCTTGATTGTTGACTTTGACACACATACACCTACCTCCTGGAGAGTGTTCTTGATCTTCTTCGGTGATCCACCACAGTTGTTTTCCGTGGTCTTCCGGGTCTTTTGGTGTTGCTGAGCTCACCGGTGCGTTACTTTTGGTCCCTTAACAAGTGGGAGGCAGATATGCAAACTGTTGTAATTCCTACACCGTTCACCTGATTTGGATGTAAATACCCTCAAATTAAAGCTGACAGTCAGCAGTTAAAGCACATCTTGTTCGTTTCATTTCAAATCCATTGTGGTGGTGTATAGAGCCAAAAATGTTAGAATTGTGTCGATGTCCCAATATTTATGGACCTGACTGTACCCATCTACAATAACAGCCAGTCTCAAATAAGTAGACCCAGTGCTCCACTGTGCTTGACAAAAGTGCCCCACATGGATTGACACTCACCACTATTCAACGACCATCCAGTGGTCTCCAATATGTGAGCCTATACTCATATCCCAAGATGATCCATGAGGCTCAACAAAGTAGGTTGGTGGTATCCAGGCCCCCGCAGGGGCAAGACAGATGAATATATATCACCATGTAATGAAAAAATAGAGAATAAAGGGACATCCCATAGTGTAAACCTGTATGGTATATTTATTGGGGGTGAAATCAATAAAACACACTCACAAGCAGGGTGCCTGGACCCGGCACCTGGAGTATTCAGCTATGCTACTCAAAGATGGAGTATACTACACTGGACGCGCACCAGAGCGGCGCGCGTTACATGGGGCGGATGTGACGTCGGCGGAAATTGCGTCATCAAAGCTCGATGCATTTCGATACAAGATAGTCATCAGGAAGTGCAAAATCTGCCATTTTGGTAAAGGTATTTATACCCTT